GAATGGGGGGGAATGGGAATGGGGTGGGGATGGGAATGGAAATGGGGTGGGAATGGGGATGGGGATGGGAATGGAAATGGGGTGGGAATGGGGATGGGAATGGTGTGGGAATAGGGATGGGAATGGGGATGGGGATGGGAATGGGGATGGGAATGGGGTGGGAATGGGGATGGGAAGGGGGATGGGAAGGGGGTGGGAATGGGGATGGGAATGGGGTGGGAATAGGGGAGGGAATGGGAATGGAGATGGGGATGGATACAGGGATGGGAATGTGTATGGGGATTGGGATGGAGTGGGAATGGAGGGGAATGGGGATAGCAACGGGGTGGGAATGGGGGAGGGAATGGGAATGGAGATGGGGATGGGAATGGGGATTGGGATGGGAATGGGGATTGGGATGGGAATGAGGATGGGGATTGGATCCCTCCCTGCCCTGGGGGGTCCTGGGCAGGCCCCCCCCATCCCAGACACCATTCCCACTCCAGAGGGAGCCCCAGCTCCGCTCCCGGCTGGAATTGCAGCGCGGATTCCCGGCTGGAATCACCAACCTCGGCCAGGGCCTGGACCTCCTGCTCCCGCTGCCGGAGCCGCTCCGTGTCCCGGAGAACCTTCTCCCTTTCCAGCCGCAGCTCCCGCCGGGAATCCTCCAGCGCCTCCCGCTCCCGCTCCAGCCGCTCCTCCTGGGAACGCAGCTCCCGCGCCCGGAACTGCAGCGCTGCCTGCTCCTGGAAAACAGCCGGAGTCAGGGAATGTTCCCAGGGATGGACACGAGCCCCTGCTCCTGGAAAACAGCTGGAGTCAGGGAATGTTCCCCAGGGATGGACACAAGTCCCTGCTCCTGGAAAACAGCCGGAGTCAGGGAATGTTCCCAGGGATGGACACGAGCCCCTGCTCCTGGAGAACAGCCGGAGTCAGGGAATGTTCCCAGGGATGGACATGAGCCCCGGCACTGCCGGAGCCTTGGGAATAACGGGCAGGATTTGCCCAATTCACCCTTTTGGGGGTTTAGGGAAATATTTGTGCTCAGGGTGAACATTCCGGGAATGAAGGTGATGCTTCCTGGAATATGTTATATATAGATATATATATATAAAAAAGGTATAATAATATACATCATATATACACCATATAACATATAAAATATATGTCATTATAATATATATAATTATAATATATATATCTCATATCCATAATATATTTATAATACCTATAGCATCTATTATTTTATAAGAATATATGATAATATTATTATGTTATATTAAAATATATAATTTTAATGATATATTAACATATATCATGATAATATTGTATATTATTATCTATTATACTGTAATATTATTATATATTGATATATACCATTAAAACTTACATATTATATATCACATATTGCATACTATATATTGCTATCTATTATATCATTAAATATTATCAAATAATTATATCATTAAATATTATTTAGATATAATTAATTATTAATATTACAAATACATTAAAAAGTTATATTGATATATATTACATTATTATATTACATATAATATATTATTATATTATTTAGATCCTTAATATTATAATAGTATAATTATTCTAATTATATGTATATAGTTATAAGATATAATATTATTATATTATAGTATTATAATATGGGATATTACTACAATATTATACCATTATACTATATTTTATTATAATATACTATATTTTATTATAATATTATAACACATAATATTAGATTATTAATATTGTAATATTAAAGTATTTTAAGATTTATTATATATTCACTATATATTTACTATTTTTTACATATAATATAATTTATTATATACTTATTATGTTTATTATTGCATTATAATATATAATAACTATATTATGAGATATCATCACTATTATTACTCTATGTTAATACACTATTATAAATGATTAATATACTATTATATATTATCAATAATTGTGTTTATTATACATCATGAGAAGATATTATTATATTATAACGATATTTACTAATTATTTAATGTATAATTAATATACTCCTGTACACCCACGTTGCAGTGCCCAAACCCCTTCCCGGGAGCGGCAGGAAAGGACGAGGAAGTTCCCAAAACCATCCCAACAAAATCAGCAAGTGAATCAAATCCGCTTTTCCGGGCCCCGGCTCACGGGAGGTTTTGGAAAATCCCCTCTCCCGTTGTGCTTTCGGGGGTTTTGGTGCTTTTCCCACCCCTCGGGATCCCCCTTTCCTCCCCAAATCTGCCCTTTATCCGCCCCCCGCGTCTCCCCAACGCCAAGAAAACGGGATTTTCCCGCCCTCACCTTGTCCAGGTTCCTCAGGGTCGACTCCAGGTGCTCCGAGCGCTCCTGGCTCAGCCTCTCCCGGCTCCGGAATTCCGCCCAAGCCTTTTCCAGCCTCCTGCGCTCCTCGGAGCATTCCCGGAGCACCGCCCGCTGCTCCTCCAGCCACGCGCCCTGGGGGCAGCTCCCGATCCCAATCCCGCTTCCCACCAGGGATTCCCGCCTTTCATCCCTCCCCACAGCTTCCAGAGGCCGCTCCCAGCTCCAGGGTGGGCGCTCCGGGGGGTATCCCGGGATATTCCCTGTACACCGACCTGGACGGATCCCAGCCCCTTTTCCAGCTCCCACCCAGCCGCTTCCAAGCCCCTTTTCCAGCCCCAGTCCCACCTGGCTGGTTCCAATCCCATTTCCCAGCCCCTTCCAGCTCCCATCCAGATGGTTCCAATCCCATTTTCCAGCCCTGTTTCCACCCAAGTCATTCCAAACCCCATTCTCAATCCTATTCCCACCCAGCTGACTCCAAACCCTTTTCCCAGCCCCAATCCCACCTGGCTGCTTTTGGACCCCATTCCCAGCCCCTTCCAGCTCCCACCCAGCTGCTTCCAAGCCCTTTTCCCAGCTGGTTCCAAGCCCTTTTCCCAGTTGGTTCCAAGCCCTTTTCCCAGGGCTCTTCCCACCCAGGCAGTTCCAAGCTCCCACCTGCTGATTCCAAGCCCTCTTCCCACCTGAATGGTTCCCAGCACCTTCCAGCTCCCACCCAGCTGGTTCCAATCCCATTTCCCAGCTGGTTCCAATCCTATTTCCCAGCTGGTTCCAATCCCACATCTCAGTTGGTTCCAATCCCATCTCCCAGCTGGTTCCAATCCCATATCCCAGCTGGTTCCAATCCCATTT